TTTTCTATAAAGCCAAGTTCAAATAAGCACCCCTAAAATCAATAACAATTTTGAAAGCTCTGGGCACTTACTAGAGTACTGTAGCTGAAGGTAGGTAAATGTCGAAATCCAACTAGGGTTTTTTGCAGCGTTGTTGAGTTACCTTGTTCATTGTCACAGTATCTTAAGGGAACATTAACTTGCAGTGAAGTTGAATTAGCTTTACTTTGTTTAAATTTTTTTTTTTTTTTGTCTTATGCTTTAGAGTTCTTGGCAATCAGCGATTAAATATAGATTCAAGAACCTAAGAAAAACACGACAAGTTTCCTCTGGAAATGGGACTGCAGTAGTAAAGCCTGAGATGAAAAGAAGAAAGTGTGAGGCGGTCGAGACAGAAAATGGGGAGACAGACGAAACATGCAAGGAGCATGTACAACAGTTGAAGAGGGAGATGTCGAAGTTAAGCCACCGCAACTATGGGTTGATAGGCAATTTAATGGAGGCCACGTATATGTACCGACGTAAAAGAATTCTTGAAAATCCAGTGTCAATAAACAACGTCGTGCAGGAATATCCTGCTCTTCAGTTAGTGTCAGAGGTATGTAATTACTACAGTAGTTCTTATAGATATTGGATTGTTTGGCCTTCTCAGTCCTCTCCAGAATTGTGTTTTTCTTTTGCAGCACAATTGTAAAATAAATTCATTTTATATTTTTGTTGTATTATGGTGGTCAGTAATATACCAGGTAATGATACACATCTAGATGTGTATAAGAGACAGAAACCATCCGGAATAGGAATCTACGAGTACCAGGAACCAGTTAAATGTATAACCAAATGTCCTAGCATATGCTTGTAAACACTATTTGCATGTAAACCTATTAGAATAAATTTGGACAATTTTTTGTTATGTAGACAAGTTGTTAGCCATGCTGATAAAGACCAAGTGTGACACAGTTAACATGTCATTGGGCTCTTTGCAACTTGTAGCATTAGTAGGTAACTTTGTCTGTGAAAATTGAATTTATGACTATATAAATAAATACAGGAGACTCAGGACCCTTTGGAAATGTCACGTCATAATGTTATATAGTTTGCCCGAAATGGAAACCCCCACCCCACCCCACAGCAGTGCCTTATATTCATATGAATATTCTTTTTCCATTTTCACATCTTGCACTTCTCTAACACAATACTGATACATATTTTCTTACAAATTTATTTGTTGCTTTAAATGTCAAAATAAATCCATCATTTTTTTTTTCATTTTCCCTTTTCAGATCAAAGCTGAATTTTCAAGAATATTAGGAAAGGAGAAAATAGTTAGGAATATGACAGCTGCCTTTAACACCATGCAGTCAAATGTATTTCGTCTTGCCATGGCTAAGGGGGTTCTGAAAGACAGCAACATTAAGAACCTCGTTGAGGAATTTCCCAGCAGACAATCAGGTAGTTCATTTTTAATTAATTTAATTCATTACTGTACATCTATTACAGTATATTATGGATTATTTCATTAAAATAATGATATCTAGTGAAGAGGACAAAAATTCAGTAACGGTAGATGGTTTCATTTTTCTTCTCGATATGGGCCATTTTGTCTGTCTGTCTTCGTATGTTTTAGTAACTGTATAAGTTAAGTAGCACTGGATACGGTGGGTGCCCATGAACCAAAATTTCATGATGTAAGTTACATGAGAAACAAATAAAATATTCTTTTTTATGTTGATGGTTTGAGGTTCTGTATAACAATTTTTGCTGTAACAAATCAAACAGATTTGTCAAACAGTACAATATAAACACTATCTTTACTGTTTAACTTTATTATTGACATTAATTTTAATGTTACTGCATCCACAGAAATAGAAGGGATGGCTTGCCTCATCGCTGTCCCCATACTACTGAGGGAAACTGGGCCAGACAGCGCTGTGCTGAAAATTTGCTCAGTAAGTAGTATTCTATTTTGTAAACAATTTTCGAGAAAAAAAAAAATTAAATACAAATACCCAAAGCCTAAAGCCCTTTTGATAGCCTTTCGTAAAAGATCAAAATGGGTAGAGTGTTGGAAAATGTTTGTCCCAGTTCATATACCATACCCATGTGAATAAATACCCTGTTCGAATAAGCGTACAACCATAGGGAATGGTTTTTCGTCCCAATTGACTAACCTCACCTTTTACATTGTATACCACATACAGTATTTCGAATGATGCCCAAGTGTGCAAATATATTTGGATTGAGGCGTACAACAATCGTTCACACTTTAGAATATATATTTTTTTTAATTTAGTGCAGTTATATCCAGTAAATTTGGATTATCAGATCAATTAAACATTTTTTATCAGAGGACTCTAATTACAGTTGAACTGCCTAAATCGACTCTGCATAAGCCGAATAATTTCTAAGTCAATCTTATTTTACATGCCAAATTGTTGTGTTTTCCATTAATTAACAATCTGTAAGTTGAACAATATTTCAATGGCATTTTGGATTCGACTTCGGCAAGTTCAACTTCTGTATATACAAAAAAATTATTGATACACAACAATGGAGGTGATGATGCCCTACACATTTTCAATAATCACCATAAGTTTTCCCTTTTGAATAAGTTTATATGAATATATAATCACAACATAATGGGTTATGAACAGGATTGATTGTAGTAAAACACATACATAAATCTAGGCTGGGTCTGCCTAACTAAAAGTAATAAATTTTGATTTCTAAGTTAATAAAAATCCTCCCTCCCTTCTCACTTTTCGGAATGGACGAATGATGAACTTTTATTTCCTATGGGCCTATTGCAATGTAATAAGTTATTTGTAATTGTTTTCAGATTTGTATTTGTTCCTTGTTCATTTTTGTTTTTGTTTTGATTTCTATTAGGAGAATGAATCCATCGATCAGAGCATAAAGGAGTCTATTTTTCCACGGCTGGTGGGGTCTAGCAGCCTTGAAGATATTGATCCTCTTTACATTGCTGCGGAGGGAAAAATTATTTCAAAGCTAAGTGGCCTCAATGTTGACGCGGCAGTGGCCATAGCCCTTCTAATGGGTGCTTTTTATATTTTCAACGTCCAGTACCCAAACAAATCCAAAAATACGTACATCTTTTTGGAATCAAAAATCCTTCAAAATAAAACAAAGGAAGCTAACAGGCGTGTAATAGTACAAAAACTATTAAAGGAGCTAGAATAACTGCCGAACCATTTCACATTGTACCTAGCCTGGTGTTTTTAAAAAAGATATTTTTAAAATTGCGGTTCAATCTAATAAAAAAAAGTCTCGCCTAACATGTATGAAGTTTAGATGTGATTGGTTCTCATATAATATTTCCTGGGAATGAGTTTCGTACTTCCATTATCCTTGTAGTCCATGATTTTTCAATGTCCTTTGACCTGGCAAGCCTACAGCATGCTGTATAGGCCTAAATATATTTCAAAATAAATGTGACATGGCCTTATGCATGCATATTTATTATGTAACAGTATACCTATACCTAATGGAAAAGACTTCCGTAAAGTTTGTTGGTATTTGTATTTGTTAAGAATTGTTTAAAAATAACTGCCGAACCATTTCACATTGTACCTAGCCTGGTGTTTTTAAAAAAGATATTTTTAAAATTGCGGTTCAATCTAATAAAAAAAAGTCTCGCCTAACATGTATGAAGTTTAGATGTGATTGGTTCTCATATAATATTTCCTGGGAATGAGTTTCATACTTCCATTATCCATGTCTATTATACACATCTAGATGTGTATAAGAGACAGTCATAATGTTATACAGTTTGCCAGAAA